CCCTTTGTGTGGCTGCTGTGTTATTATGATAAAGAACTTTCCTAATCACAAAGTTAAACTTCTGAGGCAATGATTTGCGGCCTAAAATTCAGCCTTCAGTGCTGTAAAAGAACATATCTGCTCGCCCTCAAAGACTCGTTCAGCCGAATTTATGAATATCCTTATCTCCCCTCAGGCAGGCTGAGATCATTTGTGAACTCTAAATGTGTGATAAGGAGACAATTCCGAACATTTTCACAGCTTTTTGGAGACACTATCAGTGCACGGAGATTAATTATTAATTCAACACAGTCTTTATGACCCCAATATGTTTTTCTTTTACTGTCTTGTCAGAATCCTAACTTACTTTTAATCTGCTCCTACGACCGGGAACTTTGGAGAGCATGCTGCAAATCTACTCAAAGACAGAACAGAGGCATCTCATGCTCTGTCATGTTACATCACTTTATTATCATAGGACATTAAAACCATAGACTGTTAAAACAGCAGGAACGTGCTGATGTAGTGTAGAATCCACCTCAGGTAAACATGACTAAAGGCCAAATGCTGCAAAAAGGAAGTCAAGCAGTCGTTTACAGGTTTGTACAACGCCTACACACTCGCTTTAAAAACTGTTCTCATCCCCTTTTGTGTGTTTTTGTACAACACTAGCGATAAAATCAGGAACAAAATTACAATGAACTAGAGATTATCAGGGCTGCACAGTGGTTAGAGGTGTTGCTTCACAGCGAGGAGGTTCCTGGTTTGAATCCCCGTCTGACAGGAGCCTCTCTGTGTGGAGTCTGCATGTTCTCCCCGTGCATGTGTGGGTTCTCTCCGGCTTCCTCCCACAATCCAAAGACATGCTCATTAGGTTAACTGGTGACTCCAAATGTGAGTGTGGCTGGTTGTTTGTCTCTATGTCCACCAGCCCTGTGATTGGCTGGTGAACAGTCCAGGATGTAACCCCGCCTCACATCTAATGACAGCTGGGATCCCGAACAGGAAAAGCAGTATCACTCACTCACACAAGTACGGCCCATTTACAACCACCATGTTTCATATGTTTGATCTGTGTATGAGCTTTATCTGGGGAAATTGAAGTATGTCTGAGTCGTCTTGTACCACTTTGTTTGAGGTCATGGTCAGGCGAACTGTAAACATGTCCTGTTCGCACCGAGTGGGCCTCTGAAACCAGCTGCTTCAGGTCCCACAGCTCCTCGCTGCTGAACTGAGAAGTCGTGGTAAACACAGACGTCCTGAAGCGTGACGGCCTCCTGAAACAGAAACCGTGTCCTCTTAAAGAGAGAACCTGCTTGGCCTGCAGACGAAGCTGAACTGTCAGCGCTTCCTCAGTGAAACAGAACAGGGTGCTCCTCTCAAGGAGCTGCTTCACCAAGATTCAGACTTCAATATTCAAGAGAAACATCAGACTGACTAATAAACAGATCTCTCCTGTTGCTGAGATACGAAGTGTTACATTACATTTCAATTCGATATGTTATGATACGTTGTTACTTTGTCGTTACGTTGTCATTACTCGTTACGTTGTCGTTACTCGTTACGTGGCCGTTATGTCGTTACGTTGCCGTTATGTCATTTTGTTAACGAGTGTAACGAGTAACGACAACGTAACGACAACGTAACGAGTAACAACAATGTAACGAGTAATGACAACGTAACAAGTCACGAAAATGTAACGAGTAACGACAACGTAACGACAACGTAATGACAACGTAGTAACTCTTTACATTGTCGTGACTTGTTACGTTGTCATTACTCGTTACATTGTCGTTACTCGTTACATTGTCATTACTCGTTACTTTGTCGTTACTCGTTATGTTGTCGTTACTCGTTACAACGTAACGACAACGTAACGAGTAACGACAACGTAACGAGTAACGACAATGTAAAGAGTTACTACGTTGTCATTACGTTGTCGTTACGTTGTCGTTACTCGTTACATTTTCGTGACTTGTTACGTTGTCATTACTCGTTACATTGTTGTTACTCGTTACGTTGTCGTTACGTTGTCGTTACTCGTTACATTGTCGTTACTCGTTACGTTGTCATTACTCGTTACTTTGTCGTTACTCGTTATGTTGTCGTTACTCGTTACGTTGTCGTTACGTTGTCATTACGTTGTCGTTATGTCATTACGTTGTTGTTACTCGTTACATTGTCGTTACTCGTTACGTGGCCGTTATGTCGTTACGTTGCCGTTATGTCATTACGTTGTCGTTACTCATTACGCTGTCGTTACTCGTTACGTGGCCGTTATGTCATTACGTTGTCGTTACTCGTTACGTGGCCGTTATGTCATTACGTTGTCGTTACTCATTACGCTGTCGTTACTCGTTACGTTGTCGTTCTGAGATGTATCATTAAATTTAGGTTATGTTACATTATGTTACAATATGTTGACCTGATGTGATTTCATACGATACTGTAAGATATGATAAAATATGATTTAGTAGGGTACGATCCGTTTTGATGAGATACATGACTTTAAAATATGATACATTACGTCTCAATGCAATTCCAAGCCATGCCATGGCGTGTTACGATACCAAATGATACCAAACGATATGACAGGATATGAGAGGCTAAGAAAAAGGAGGACGGAAAATATACATACACAAAAAACGTAATCATAAATCAGAACAAAAAAATCAACAGAGTAAAGCAGAGCATGTTTGTCAACCGTGTAATTCATGAGTTTCATACCTTCTAATCATGGCTTTAAATTGGACCAACAAGATCGACTCTGTTGAGTTTTAATGTTTTGATTCCCAGTGCCTTTAAAAACTCTAGTTGGTCTACAGCTGCAGGACTCGGGACAGTCACTTGAACAAGTCATGCAGTGATTCTGGGACTTAAAGGCAGGGTTGGTAATTATCAAAAACTAGCATGATCTTGCAAGAAGCATTCCCTCAGTGGTCTGTCTGCACCCCCCCACCCCCCCACCCCACCCACTCCCCTTTGTTCTCCCTCTAAAGCCACGCCCCCTCACTTACACGCACGAGCGCTGTTGGTCCTCAGCTCATGCTTTGAGTGTGGGCAAGGGTAGAGAATGAGCAGGGAGACGGGGAGGCGTGTGATTGGTTCATCAGATTGGTACCTCGTGGCAGACACTGGTCAAAGTTTTTACAGACTTACAAACTGATACAGATGATGGATTTTCTTTGTTCCTTTTTCAGAGCTCATGAGTTATTAATTTCTGTCAGGACCTAAAGACAAGTTCAACCAAAATCTTAAAAAAGTGGATCTGGAGGAAACTACCAACACTGAATCCAGGAATTATATGTGTGGTGAAATGACAACAACATGCCAGTCAGGTTTGCTGATATTGAAGCTCAACCAACCTTTATACAGGTTAGAAATCTCAGAGCAGATTGATAGACTGACTCTGTGTTTTAGGATCGGAGGCAGTGGCATCACTGAAGTCCGGGACAGATAAGACAGTTTCAGTCATATCTGCACACATATGTTTTCCAATCCTTGCAGTCGTCTTGAAGTAACACAAGTTAAGTTTTTTTGTTTGTTTTGTGTGGTGATGGCTGACGAGAGAAATCTGTGACCAGGCCTGAGCAACAAGTGCGTCCACTTAACAAACCGTTCCATTCATCAGTTTGAGGAGAGGTTTCAAAACATTTACAGTAAAAACATTTTCCGGGTGAATGACCTGAGGTGTGGACGGAGAAATATTCTATAATTAGAGCGGAGGAGCTGCACATTCCCGCACCTCACACTTAATAGCTAACACACAATGACATCTAACACCTTCACATTGTTCTGTGGCTCGTGTCATATTATCATTACAATCTCACTGAGCATGTTTTGTTGGGCGTTGAAAGAAGAAGAGAAGGTGCGGTAATCAAACCTTCAACGAGAACTGTCAGAACATGAACGTCACAGCTCAAACAATGTAATCCTGCAGCTCAGAGCGGAGTTTTTTGCATTTTTAGGCTTGGTGAATGGTAATTAATTGTTCTTTGCTCTTGAATGGATCACTTTTGGTCATGAAATGAGACGAGACAAATGCGATTTGGCTGCAGCGTAACAGTTTGAGTAAGGGTCAAGATGTCAAAGTAGAGATCAGCAGTCAATCTGTGTTTTTATTCATACGAGATAAAATAAAATACAAAACTTAATAAATGTCCCGCTAAATTTGGAAGAAATTTAAGTTTGCACATTTCTCTTATTAAGACATGGTTTAGCTTTGAAGTGGTGAAACAGAACCGGCTGCATGCTTCACAGGTCCATAATACAGCCAAAGAAATTACAAGATTTCAACAATCTTAAATAAAGGGCCACACATGAGAAAGTTAGAGCGAGAGGAGGAGTTGATCGAAATGTCACAAAAAGTTGAGACACAAATTTGAAATGTCCAGAGACACAAAGTTTAAATGTACAGAGACACAAATTTGAAATGTCCAGAGACACAAATTTGAAATGTACAGAGACACAAAGTTTAAATGTCCAGAGACACAAAGTTTAAATGTACAGAGACACAAAGTTTAAATGTACAGAGACACAAAGTTTAAATGTCCAGAGACACAAAGTTTAAATGTACAGAGACACAAAGTTTAAATGTACAGAGACACAAAGTTTAAATGTACAGAGACACAAAGTTTAAATGTCCAGAGACACAAAGTTTAAATGTCCAGAGACACAAAGTTTAAATGTCCAGAGACACAAAGTTGAGATTTAAATTCAAATACAATGTCATGAAATCATACGTTTAAACATTTTTTGATTTGAATTGTATTCCCATCATTTAGTCTTTTTTATTTTCTTTTTGTTGTTATTCTCAAAAGTGCATGATGACTGAAGTCTTTCTCCTCTCATGATTTGTTTGTCATGTCTGGCTGTCACCCTCTTCCTTAAAATAGTCTCTGAGTTACTGTAAGAAGTGTAGAAACCAACATCTGGGCTCCCCCTATGCATAAGACTACATCTCCCAGGATGCTCACTTCCGGGTCGAACGCCTCCCAGCCAATGAGACGCCGCCTGGATTGATGGTAGCTATGTGGGGCACGGGGCCAGCACGTCTAGCCAGCTCGAAGTGCCACGACTTCACAGCAGAGCACGGATTCTCCAGCAGCGGAGTGAGGAGGGGGACAGACCTGGAAAAGAAAGCTGGGACGAATAGTTAGCTTTGCGCAGAAACTCTGAGCAGTCTCTCCATCCTCGTTTTAAAATCAAGCCCACGAAGCTCCAGCACACAGAGGTAAGAGTGGGAATATTGTTTTTTATTCATTGATCCAGCGGCGGCTAGCATGGGAAGCTAACTCCTTCAGCTAGCTGCCAGTGCAGAAAGACAGCTGATTAAAGTTATTTTAAAAGATCTCAGGCTTTTCTCCCCTCTGGAGCTTTTTAGTTTACGACTTTATTACGTCGTTTACGGCGCAGTTTCGTTACGTAAAGCGACACTTTGTACCCTGATGTGCAGCACGACAGCCAAGTTCATTGATTCAAAGTGTTAGCTGAAATGCTAACTTAAAGGGAATGAGTAGAAAAAAAAAGGATAATTTACCAAATTATTTAAATAATAAATGACTCTCTCTTTACGTTTGAATGGTGAAGGTCCTTAAAGGTTAAAGTGAGTTAATCTTCCTCCTGGTTTGATTTGAACTTAACTTTATTTTAAGTTTTTTTGCAGAAGAAAAAGTATTTTTATCAGTTTGTAGAGAAAGTGTGCAGCATGTCTGAAGATAAGTGTTTTCATTCAAATAAAATGTCTGCATATTTACTCTCAGAGCTTTAAGGTACTTTCTGAAGATGACACACACACACACACACACACACACACACACACACACACACACACACACACACACACACACACACACACACACACACACACAGGTGGTGACACCTCTTCGTCTCTGTCTTATCGTCCTGTCTCTTGTGGACTCTGAGATTTCACTTCATCACCTGTGAGCTCACCTGGAGTTTGGTTCAAGTCTTCTTTTTTTTTTTTTAAAGATTAGTTTTGTTAAACTTTATTTAGCAAAGAAAGAGTACATGTAGAAAGATTCACAGTGTGCCTGAAGATTATAGATTAGATATGTTTATTTCTTTGGATCCTGATGAAGCTGTACCCTAAACTGGGGTCCTGGCTCCCCTATGGGGGGGGGGTTGGCAGCACCCTTACTGCAAAGTTTATTCAAAGGTCTTTGGTGAGAAAACGTGTGTGTGGGACTTTTCTGATTCTGATTTATTAGAAGGATAATCTTTTAATTAGACGTATTTCGTGTGGATCCTGAGGGGGGGCGGGGCTTGGCTTTTCATTTAAACAAACTGGAGGGGGGTCGGCTCCAAGGGAAATAAAGGTCGGGAACCTCTGCCCTAGAGCTCAACTATTCAGCACTGAACCCCTATGTTCATGAGGCCTCAAGGTGTTTCTGTAGGTTTTTTTTTTTTATGATGATGAGTCATCGAAAGCTGGGGTTTTCAACTGGTGGGTTGGGACCCAAAAGGGGGCCGTGTAACTGTTTTTGGTTGGTTGAATTATGCTGAAAATGGTGTGAAAAAGTCTCCTAAGTCCTTTTGAAACATGCCTGTTTGTTTCAGTTTCTTTGTTCTGTCACATGTTTCCATCTGAGGGCCAAACTTGTTTTCAATGTCATTTTTCATTGAATAAATCTGATTGGTTGAAAAATATCAGACAATTGGGTTGCAATTTATTTCAAGGAGAAGTTTGTAGGGGTTTCCTGAGGCTGGGCCAGTTGAGAACCACTGATCCTAAAGCACTGGTTCCCAGCCTTGGGTCCGGGACCCCCTATGTGGGGGTGCCAAAGCTCTCCGGGGTCTTCTGGTAGAAACGTGTGTGTAGGTGTTTATATTTACATACCAGAAATAAGACAGCAGCTCAGTCTGTAGGGACAGGAAGGTCGCCGGTTCAAGTCTTGGAGTTGGAGAGGTGTCAGTCCACTTCCTGAACACTGCTGAGGTGCCCTTGAGCAAGGCACCTAACCCCCCCACCCCCACCCCAGCCCCCTCGCTCTGACATCTCTCCATCAGTGCATGACCACAGGATCCTGGGGGGGGGGGGGTTATAGAGATATGTTAATGCATAACTTCTATGAATAACAATCAGATTAGCGTGAGTGTAAACGCATCGCGGTGTGACATCAGCGATAAGGACGCTGCCAGCTTTTTAGACCCTGACATTAAAACAGCCTCTGGACTCTGTTTGATGATTCTGAATCTGCTCAGCAGTTTTGTTTTTTTCTTCTTCACCGTATCACAACGTGGGTTTCTCTCTGCTGTGGTTTTCTTTCTTTTTTTTGAAAGCGCCCTGCATTTAAAATATTTTCTCCGAGCAAGAAAAAAAAACTGCTGCAAGATAAAAACCACCATATGTGTTTTCAGTGTCCCGGAGCGAGGGATTTTTACTCTCCTCCAACTTTTCTTCCCTGCAGGCTGAGCGTCTCAGTTTGTGACAGGCGCCTTTAAGAGCCTTAAAGGGATGTCGTGTTTTTTTTATACAGTGCAGGAAATTAACACTTAACTCGAGGCAGCTCCTGAAAAAGTTTGGCAGTCGCTGTAAACTTTGTTTACTTTACCTACTTTAGTCTGTAACCCCATTTGCTCCACTCGACGGCCTGGTTTTCACTGCATGCTCTAAATTCATATTAAACTTTAAAATAGTAAGTAGTCGGTTGATTTAGCACCCAATCTTTCTATGAGTTTAAACGCTTACTCCTCACACTAAAACCACAACGTTTGGGCGTTTTGATTTTGTTTCCAGAGGTTTTTAAAGACGTGTAGTTTCACTAAATCCACGTGGCTTTCTGAGCAGCAGCCAGTGTGATGTGCAGAGAAATAAAACACTGATAAAGAGGACAGTAAGTCTCAAAGCAGATTTCCAGGATTCTTTGTGTGTTGTATGTTTTAAGGGCAAGTGCTTCTCGACCCGGCGCTGTTTGTTGTTTGACTCCATGTTTACTTTGGCACAGTTTGCAGAAGTTCGTCATGTTTACGGTTAAAGCGGTCGGGTAGATGTGAGGCTGAATTTGGAGCGGAGTGAACACGTGTTTCATCCTAAGTGGTGGGCTGTGAGCAGCTGATAAGGTTTGCCCCTCTGCTTCACATCGCTGAAGTTAAAAGGTGAAACAGTGACACCTTGAGGCTGTTAGCAGTAAAGACTGGGGCTCCTCTCCGTCCAGCTTGTGCTCTTTTTTTTTTTTTTTTTTTATGACTTTCTATTTTTATTTTACAAAAAACACATCAGCAGTAACATATGGTTTACATCTGTTTGTTACAAATACCCTCTACCCCACCCCCACACAGAACTGAAACACAGAGGGGTCAGCAGGTAGCTTGTGCTCTTTTAATGCAGCTGCTGCTCAGTTTGATTCTTGTCCATGCCATGTGTTTTAAAACAAGTCTGCCTCTGTTTTTTTTTTTTTTAGGTCAACTGAAACTCAAAGGATGGATATCTACGACCCCCAGACTCTTGGGATAGTGGTGTTTGGTGGATTCATGGTGATCTCTGCTCTGGGGATCGTTCTCGTCTCCACCTTCTCCATGAAGGAGACCTCGTACGAGGAGGCCCTGGCTAAGCAACGCCGCGAGCTGGGTAAGATCCAGCCTACCCGCTCCGACAAAAAGAAGAAGGACAAAGTGTCCGAGAAGAAGAGCCGCGGAAAGAAGAAAGATGAAAAGCCCAACGGAAAGATCCCGGAGCCGGAGAGAATCCAAGAGGAGGCTGACGTTGAAGATGTGGTTGAGCCCGTCGCTGCACCGGTTGTAGCTGCCACTCCCGCTCCTGAGCCGGCCCCTGCTGTGGAGGTGAAACCGACTGCTGCCCCACCACCGGCAGAACCGCAGGTCAAGGCTGCACCTGAACCGACCCCTGCTCTTGCTGATCCCTCACCTGCCCCCTCCCCGAAAGAGAAGAAGAAGAAGAAGGTGGCCAAGGTGGAGCCAGCTCCTGCCCCGGCACCAGTCAAGCCCTCTGCAGCCCCCGCAACCGCCCAGGCTCCTGTGTCGGCCAAAGCAGCCGCCCCATCCTCTGCATCCGCCCCAGCCAAGTCCGCCCCTGCACCGGCCAAGTCCGCCCCTGCACCGGCCAAGTCCGCCCCTGTAACCGCCAAGTCCGCCCCTGCACCGGCCAAGTCCGCCCCTGCACCGGCCAAGTCCGCCCCTGCACCGGCCAAGTCCGCCCCTGCACCGGCCAAGTCCGCCCCTGTAACCGCCAAGTCCGCCCCTGTAACCGCCAAATCCGCCCCTGTAACCGCTAAGTCCGCCCCTGTAACCGCCAAATCCGCCCCTGCACTGGCCAAGTCTTCTCCAGCTCCACCCAAGACAGCCCCGGTTCTGGAGGCGGTCGCTAAAGAGGTCCCGGTGCTGGCAGTGCCCCCGGTGGGATCTCAGCCGCCTGCTGCTGCTGGAGGAAAAACCCAAGAGCCCAAGAAGAAGGCCTCCAAGAAGAAGGCGGAGCCTGGTGAGCTGATAAGTTTGACAGAGTTACAAGTTTGTAGCTGTACTTTTTAAACTTTTGTTTTAATCTTATTGTTTTTGTTATTATTTAAAAGTGTTTTTAAAGATGACACTGCTACTCCGTGGATAATCTCACCATGGGGAAAGAATATCGAACAAAGTTGACAACAAACTGATAAAAAAAAACGACTTTTTCTCTGCAAAAAACGTACAATAAAGTTAAGTTAAAATCAAACCAGGAAGAACACTAACACACTTTAAGCTTTAAGGACTGTCACCATTCAACCGTAAAGAGAGAGTCATTTATTATTTAAACAGTGCAGACCTCGGCCCTGTGATTGGTCTGCTATGTAGCATCGCATTTCCTGATTTTACAACATTTCAGTATCGCTGCCATTTCCAAAATTCTGCAGACGGAAGAACGCAGAGTAACCGCAGAAAGTATGTAGCGCTAACGATGTCGTAGATGCAGTGGAGTTTTGTCACAGAAGTATAAATCTGTCTTAAGACTCTGAAGGGCATCACATCACCTGAAGTTTCACATGTGGCCACTTTGTAACAATCGCAGCACAGCACTACGCTTCCTCTAGGTGTTGGAGACATTTCCCTGATCAGAGTTTGATTATTGCAGAATCTCTGCATCCCAGCTGTTCCCACCTTCGAGGTCAGAGGGCTCTTACTTGAAGGTTTTTGCTCACAGTCTTGTCTCTGAAACCGTATCGGCAGCGCTGATGAACTTCTCGCTGTGCCAGTGACAGATGAAGGTAACGTCTGGCACTCAGCCGTGGAGGGCAGAGAGCACGCCTGCTTGTGCAAACACCACTGCCCTGTTTTCTTAGCTGACAAAGGCTCTCAGTGCCCTCACAATGAGTGAGGAGGAAGGGGGGGGTTGTGGTTCTCCTTTGCCTCAGGCTTGTCTCCGCCTGGTGCCACAGCGCCCGCTCGTTTTTGCCACCAGAAGCTTGCCAAGAAGACAAAATGCAACCTTGTTCCTTTCCTGGGTCTGTGTGGGAGTTCAGAGCTCACAGTGACTCCATAATGAGCTTCTTGTTTTTGAATCATTCTTGACATATTGAATAAAATATCTTGTGTTTTTTTTTTGTCTCCGTCTTAAGTGGCAGCCGTGGACTCTGCTGATGCTCCTCTGTACCTGCCCTACAAGGCTCTGGTGTCCACGCTCAGCAGCATGGTGTTCAGCGAGGGAGAGGCTCACAGGCTCATCGAGATCCTCTCTGAGAAAGTCGGCATCATTCAGGACACCTGGCACACGGTACGGGACACTTGATAGTGAAACCCCCCCCTGCAGGGCTAGTCAAAGCATTGAAGCATACAGGCGTTATATATTTTCTTTCTTTTCTTTCTTTGCATGTGTGTTCTTTCAGGCCTCTCAGAAAGGAGACCCAGTGACCGTCCTGAAGAAGCAGCTGGAGGAGAAGGAGAAACAGCTGGCGGCAGAACAAGAGGACGCTTCTGCAGCGAAGAACCGCCTCAGAGAACTCACCAAGGTTAGCCAACAAGGACAACAAACCTGCAGACTTCTGATCAATTAATATCCTGCAACCTCTGAAAGACCCTAAAGGCCCTGACACACCAAGGAGATCGTCAGTCCTAGTTGGAGTCTCCTCCTCCTCTTCTTTTCTTTTTCCACTAAAAGACCAAGAACTGACAACGCCAGCGCCATTTTCCACTTTTTATCAGACATTATTCTCCATTAGTAGACGACCTATAATACGAGTGGTGAGCGACAGCGGTGTGAAAATAGTCTTCTCGAATCATAAACAACGGACTACCGCCCCCTGCTGGCATGGAGAGTTATTTCCTCTCACGCTTGCTCAGAACGTTTGTGGTGGTTGGCCGTCGGCTGGAGTCTTTGAGGTGTCTTCAAGTGCAACTTTTTGGCTAAGTTTGAGGAGACGCCACAGACGGCCTTCGTCGCCACTAGTTCTTTGCCGTCTGCTTGGTGTGTCAGGGCCTTAAGTTTTACAGTAACTTCAAGTCCTCTAACTGCTTCGAGAACTTTACTGTTTCAAGATTCAAAATGCTGCAAAGCAAAAACCCCAAAAGTGTCTGCAACTTTTGAGTGTAATATCAAAGAAGCAGGGACCTTTTGGGGGGGTAAAAATAAAGTTATCAGGACTTAATGGAGACTCTTCTGCCTGCAGTGGAAACGCACAGAGAAGCTCTATAAGTCCTTAGTGCCAGGGGGGAGGGGCTTCTTGCATTGAAAGACAGCTAAATAATTATAAAGTAAGAAAACAGAATCACTAACTGGATGAAATCTCTGCTGTTCAGTTTGTCCTGAAGGTGGCAGCAGAGGAGAAAACTGTGCTCCTGCCTCAGTTAAAGGTTCAACTCTGAACATGAACATTGTGTTTTGTCTTGCACCTTTTTGTCCTGAAGGTGACAGCAGAGGAAAGTTAACAAGGTTTCCACTAACAGGACACGTCTATCAAGACACAGACAGCGGTCTCTTTTGTTTTTACACAAATTCCCTCATTACATTTAGTTATAAGAGTATCAACGATTCCCTCTGGTGGATGACGGATCATGAAGTCACAGACACCTTTCTGCCCTCTGACTGTGCTTGTCTGTGTTTTCAGGAGCTTTCTGCAGAGAAGTCGAAAGTTGCCGGTGTGGAGACGAGGCTGAGCTCGCAGCTGAGCAAGAGGGAGCAAGAGATGATCGCCCTGCAGGCTCGCATGCAGGCCAGTTATCAGGACCATGTAGCCCAGACTCAGGCCCTTAATGCAAAGGTAAGCTCTCGTACAAAACCGTTTCCTGGGGGCGATTTTACACCTCTAGTTCCTTTGCTCTCGTCTGAATCTTAGAGGTGTTTGTTTCATTGTTGCATAAAAACCTCAAGTTTGATGACATTTACAAGCAGACCAAAATGAGAGATGTGTCAGGAAGATGTTCTCTGATTGGTCAAGGGAAATCCCAGAAGTAAACAAAGAAAAGTAAAGCGATATGGTTTGAGAATGAGGCCCAACTGAGGCTGGAAAATAATATGTTGATGTGCTGGAGTCAGTGAAGGCGCTTATGAAGACAGTTCAGGAGAAGGTGCATGTTAATCCTCCTGAACCAGGACCTGCACATCATCCACTGAAACTGTTTCTGAAGACCCACCAGATCTGCCTGTGGTCTTTAACACATGTTCAGTGGGGGCCGCTAAGGTCACTACCTGCAGTTGGGTCGGATCATGTTCTTACTTAAGAACCAGAGTTTGAAAAAAAAAAGTGGACAGAGACCCACCTTTTCAAGCGGTCTCAGTACGGTGTTTGGTCCGCACCAGGGTTTGATTGACAGTTTTCACACCAGAGCAAACGTGGCAAACACACTCAAGTTCGTTTTAACCCGAACAACACAGGTTAGGTGTGAAAACACCCTTAATGTACAGCTGCACATAAATTACCCTCTAGAATATTGTGCTTCTTGTCGGATGTGAAAATGCATTTATTTATTTATTTTTATTCTTTTTTGCAGATCGTCAGCCTGCAGGAGCAGCTGGAAAACGGCCCGAACGCTCAGCTGGCTCGCCTGCAGCAGGAGAACTCGATCCTCCGCGACGCACTCAACCAAGCCACCAGTCAGGCTGAGAGCAAGTGAGTCCTCCTCCTGAAGCAGAAAAAGAGGCCGGTGTCGTACCTCTTTATATACTACCCTAATGGGTTGTCATGAAGCCAGAGATTTCAATCGTCGATACAACCTGTGTTCAAACCATTTCAACAAGAAACACCTCCTAGAAGAAACCCAATCTTTAATCAGTGAAAAAGTAAACAAACCTATGCATGCTGTTTAAATTGCACAAACATGTTGCCAGCTTTTTTGGTCTAATGTAGACAGGGTGACCTCCTAGATTCTTAAAGCATTATTACATTTCACTACCACCCATTGCATAAAATAACGGCACGTGGCATTGAAAATTCTGACAGCCTAAATGGTGCTTCAGGTAACAATTGAGTGCAGTGAGTTCTCCGACGCTCTCTCTCTCTCTCGCTCTCTCCCTCTCTCTCTCTCTCTGTGTGTCTCCTTTCCTGATCCTCTCTCCCTTCTCTCTGTCCACAGACAAAACGCAGAGCTGGCCAAGCTGCGTCAGGAATGCACAAAGTTGACCAAAGAACTTGGAGAGAAGTCAGAGAGTCTGCTCGCTGACGAGCACGTCAGGAAAGGGCTGGAGGCCAAAGTCTCCGCCGCTGAGAAGCAGCTCTCCCTGCTGCAGGTCTGCATGGCTTTTACTTTACATGTCGTCTTGATTTTTAACCTTAAAGCAGATTGTAAGTTACTGAGTCTCCTCTAAAATTGCAAGCCCAGGCAGTTCCCCCACCTCTGTGCTAGCCCTCTAATGTTATGGGAGGTTTTAATTGCCTGGTAATCACAGAGCCCAGGGCGAGATTGGAATGCAGCCATACAATAACGGGGTTGCGGGGAAAATGCGTCTCAGCAACAGCTGGAAGGCGTGCATGTCTGAGCACCTCTTTTCCTGCAGCTGGCTGGAAAAGAGCAAGAACATTTACTTTTGATACCAAATGTACAATCAGTGAATATGCTCTAAATCTGTTCTTCCTCACTCAATATCTGCCGTTACTCTGAGCGTGAAGCGGTTGAGTCACTTCCACTTCCTGACAGTCCAAAGTTCACTCGAGCATTCAGGGTCTTTAAAGATGTTATGATATAGTTTAGTCCTAAAGGAAACATGGATGGTTGTACATGAAAGGACTTTGCTGCGCCTGTGAAATGTTTGTGTCGTCAGCTGTCAGTGAGCCGCTTTGCATCTGTAGATTCAGACGCAGAGAGGAAAGATAATCAGCTCCAGTTCAAACCACTTCCTACAAAGACACTTCCTCAAAAAAAAAAAAAGAAAATCTGGACAAATAGCACGACGTGGCGTTTAAATGTCTTAAGTTAATTTGTTTTCAAACATGTCCCTGAAGCCTCGTATCTGTGCAACTCACCTTTTTTATATCGTCCTCTGATCAGTAACATATCAGACAGCTTCATGACAGGAACAACAAAGAACTCGAGTTTGGACCATCCAGAATCTTCTGGAGCAAAACTAGAAGTGAATTAGTTTTATTTATTTAAAAGTCTGTTTGTAAAGCGATGCCACAAACTACCGTACTACCCTTAAAGCCTTTTCAGCCAATTTCCACAAACTCTGTGTGTAGTACTGTTTTGCTCTGCCGTGTTGATAAAGTGATGGAAAATACGATCATGAGTCGGTTTATTGTGTTTTATTTTGGAATTGACCAGATGTTCTGTGCGTTTCCTCGTCTCACTTCCTGTCCGGGTCAATCTCTTCTGTCCAGCTTGCAGCGCACTACGTCAAAAAATAAGCTTGCAGCGTATTTGAACCGGAGCAGAGCGTGGTGCAGCTGCAGAAATAGGGAGAGTGACATCAAAGATGGTGTAGTGTGTGTGGCGCTGACGGACGACTGCACACTCTGAGTATGTGGAAATTGGCAAATACACGAGATGGTTCAAAACAAACTCTGGTTTCTGGATTTTTCTGCCTGTTTCATTGCAAACTGTCACACAATAAAACACTGACTCTCTCTGACACTCTCTTTTTAAAAATGTTGTCCCATATGTCGGATATTTGTCATGATTTCGATTCGTCTTCTCTCTTTGTGTAGAATTTTAGACCCTGACCTTGGAGCTGGTGTGTCCCATGTGAATCGATCCTGCAGAGTCGGGGTGGTTTTTGTGTGTCTCTGCTGCCCCCCTGCTGCGTTTGTTGACACTTCTTCTTCTGCTGTTTTTGTTTCCAGGCCAGCCAGGCAGAGAGCGAGCAGGCGCTTCAGCGGAGACTGGAGGAGGTGTGCAAGGAGCTCAGGGACACGCAGAGTAAAAACAGCAGCCTGCAGGCCACGTTGGACGAGACCCAGACGGACAGCAGCTCACTAACAGGTTAGAGAACGCGGTCCTGATGGGTCAGCAGATGTAACAGCTTAAAGTTCTCTGTGTTGACGTGTAGGACCAGAGGTTCTGTCATTGAGTATTTAAAACACAGAGCAGCTTTTGATCGTGTGTTTTGGTTGTTTTTTACTTTGTCCCCGCAGAGTTTCAGGCTAATGTTGGGAAGTTGGAGGCGGAGCTCAAGGAGCGCTCGGCTCAGGTGGAAGCCCTCACAGCTCAGCTGGAGGAGACGCAGGCGGAGAAAAGCCAGCTCGTGCAGCAGGCGGCCTCCATCAACTCGCTGCTGGAAGCTAGTCAGACCAAAAAAGAGGAGGAGAACAATCAGGTAGGTGATGGACTGCCAGTTCTCTGAAATGACCCAATGACACCGCAAACACTAACCTCTAAAGACGTTTGTGTGTGTGTGTGTGTGTGTGTGTCTGATTCAGGAGGGGAACTCTGCAGAGCTGGAGCAGCTAACGCTCAGGTGAGTGTTCGACTTTCTTTTTCCATCTTGTCAACATCCTGAGGTGTTCAAAGGCACACATTCGTAAAAAAAATTTGGTAAAAGTGGAACCGATTGTTCTCGACTGTGAGACAGCAAGCCTTAAAAAATGTAAGGACACTTTATGATGCATGGTCGCATTACGATATGATGATGCATGACCAAGAGGTAACTGTGCTCAGGTCTTATTGGGCCTGGAGCGAGGGACCAGGGGAGTGAAGGGGGGCGATCATGCTTGGCACAGTAAGGGGGCAACAAGGCCTTGTGTGAGTGTGCCCCGATAGGTAGAAGTTGTCAAGTACCTTCACTACAAGTACTGCCACTGGAAAAATCTGCTTTTGTACAATTATCTGTGCACATAAGATAATCCTTTATTTATCCCACAACGGGGAAATTTATATTGTTACAGCAGCAAATAGCAAAGATTGCAAACAAAAAGTGAACACAGTACACAATTTAAATAAAAAAAGAAAAATTAAAAATGTACAGAAGAAATAGATAGATACCACAATAAAGATTTTTTTTAAAATAGATCTGCTGAGAGCTGCAGTTTTGACAAAAATGTAGTCAGAATATTCAGCGTAACATTAATGTCGACATCAACACACTGACTGAAATGCTCGTCCCGTCTGCAGCCTTCAGCAGAGAGACGACCAGCTGAGCACGCTTCAGGACGAACTGAAGGAACTGCAACTGAAGCAGGAAGCTGCAGTAAGTAATGCAAACAATCATCACAGTGATACGCCTTTTCCTTTAGTCACACAGCGAGGTGGACACAGTGATGCCTTTAACAAACAAACTGCCGTTCTTACAGGAGAACACTATCGTTGAACTCGAGCAGAGAAATAAAAGGTATTGTGATTTTCCTCCCTCAGAAACAAATATGAGATTTGACTTTGAGATTTGCATCTTATTTATTCTGTTTCTCCTAAATTGTTTCAGCGAGGACGCCGGCCTCATCACATCACTTCAGGATGAGCTGAAAAACCTCAAAGAAGAGATGTCACAACTTAGCAGCGCACCAGTAAGTGTTCCTCACGATGTGATGCATGAACTAACTTCACTGAATCTCATCTCAGAGGCTCATTTTCATTTTCACTTCTGCAGCAGACGGACA